ATTCAAATCACAATAATATTGGCATTTCTGGAGCAGAACCCAAAAAACATTGAGAATGTTCCTCAATTCTGTGGGATGTTAAGCGGGTAGTGAAGTGTTTACAGGGTGAAGGTGTGAAGGCATCACTGACACTGAATCTCAACATCACACAATATTTTGAGACCTACACACTAAATGAACACAACAAAACAAGTATAACTGCTGTATATGGTTTTGTGCAATATGAAAAATGTTTCGTATGTGTTGTGTATTTTATTTGTTGGCTTAATTAGTTTGGAAAAATAAGTTGAGGGATTTCCAATGCAGCTGAAAGCTACAGGTTAGGAGCAATTAGACAATATGCTGAATCATTTGTGGCTGGAACAACAAAGAGATCATTGTTCATGGGTCATTCACTCAGTGAATCAAGCTGAAACTTTTATAAGTGAGTTGAACTCAAATAATATTGTTCTGGCTCATGTCTGCCTGCAGGCTACCTGACAGGCAGTGAGGATTACTACACGCATGAGCGCTGTTATCCCATCACTGCTCTGAACCTGACTCGCTGTGCGTTGGACCTGAGGGAGGGAGAAGAAGTCGCCACCGGATACAAAGGAGTTTATTCGACTGAGCTACTCAGCCAGAGGGCCATCAGCATCATTGAAAAACACAATTCCGACAAGGTGACACTCACATAAACAAACACATACAAATATATATATCACAAAGTAAAATGCTCGATTGCTTTTTTAGTTTCCCTAGAAGTGGAACAGGAGTGAAGAGAGGTCAGTGTGGGGGAGATGGGGTCTCTCATCTTGGTGAGGAGTCACAATGCTGTGATTTGTGTTTGACCTAAGGTGCAACTGATTGTCACAGTTCTGTCGGTCAATGATTGTGAGTCCAGTCCAGTATTATATGGGTTGGAAAATGATTATTTGTCTTTTCGACAATGAAGACAGCTTGAGCCACAGAGACGGGTCTTCACATGTTGTCCTCTTTCTCTTTCAGCCGCTCTTCCTCTATGTGGCGCTGCAGGCAGTCCACTCTCCCCTCCAGGTGCCAGAGCGCTACCTGGCCCCCTACCATTTTATCAGCGACCCCAACCGCAGGCGCTACGCTGGCATGGTGTCGGCCATGGACGAGGCAGTGGGCAACATCACCCTGGCTCTGCAGCAGGCAGGACTTTGGGACGACACGGTGCTCGTGTTCTCGACAGGTGTGTCTGTACCGAGCCACTGGATAAATCTAACTCTCTCTGTCATGGTTGTGTCTTGATCGCCCATTGGTGGCTTGCTACAGTACAAGTCATAAACAAGGTTAACTCACAAATAGGATAATCATGAATGACACTAGGAATGCTTTTATCTAGTGGTTTTTCTTTTTACATTCAGCCAGAATTGAAACCAGATCAGTGGGTGCTGATGAAGTAAAAGAGTAGTCACGTTTTATGTTTGCAGAAAATCTGATTTCCCTTAAACATCAGAGACAGATTTTTCCCAGGGTGAAGAGTTCAGGTGAAAGCTTAGCTCCAGGTTTATTGAATTAATGCATCAGAGGGTTTGATGGCACATTTTATACACAACTTGATGAAGAATTACCTGGATCTCTTTTCCATCAGACAAATCAGTATCAGATTGAGTGCACATGGTGACCCCATCCAGAGCCAGAGGGTGACAGGTAGTTGGTTGATAGGATGCATTACTGAACAGGCTGAGGCTCTGTCAGGTCTGTAAGTGACTCTTGATGGAAAATCATTCATAAATAAAGGAACAAAAAAAGCACAAAAAGAAGCAAAACAACCAAAGAGGAACAAAAAGAGACGATGAAAAGACCAAAAACAACTCTAAAGAGAATTTTTAGAAAGCATAGAGAGAAGCAACAGCCAAAAAAAAAAAAAGACAGAAAATGATTCAAGATATTAATTATGCCAAACCAACAAAACAACCTCTAACTGATTCCTGAAGACTTTATTCATTTTTCGCCATTTGCATCACTTTCAATACATTTCTTTTCCTTACATTTCATATCAGAATATTTAAACTTGCTTATTTGATATCCATTTAATTAAATATTAGTAATATACAGTTTATTAGACACCAAGAACAAGAGCTTTAAGCACTTTTTACTAATTCTACAAACGTGCCCCACTCCCCTTTCTTAAAGCCGTCCCTGATTCTGAGCCCTTACCTCTGCTTTGCATGTTTGATGTTTGTATTAGTTGTGATTTTGAGTCATTCATGACTGGTAACACTGGAAAAATGCCATTGCAATACTCAGTTTGTCCACCAGAGACCAGTGTTTTCTTTTATTGGCTCTAACAGGGCTTTTTGTTTATCAGGGTCGAGAAGGACACAGAGATTTATACAGAAAGAAAGAAGACTTCACTTGGCTCAGGTCTTCAAATAGACCACTGGAGTCTCAGTTCTGTTGAATCTTGAAAAATATCCATCCCATAAACCTTTGAGGAACATAATAAGGCCAAGACGAGGCTAGAGCCATCATCTAAACATGTGCCTACTCACTGGTTTCCACATGTGGAACTTATAATGGATTGCATCTGAAGTAGGTAACTCCTTTAAGGGTTATTTTTAGGGGTTTAAAGGGGTAATTAGAAGACAGGAACAATGCTGTGAAAGTAAAGTGCGAGGTTTTAATGCGTGTGGTGGGCTGCGGTAGGTGGCCTGTTTCATTGTTCTTCCACACATTTGGTTGGCTCTGACTCAGAGGATTCAGTCAGCCATGTGCTGTGCAGACACTTACTCTGCTGATTTGAGGCTGAGGAGAAAGACTCTAAGAAAACTCCCTGTTTTCTGTGTCAGTAAAAGTTATGCACGGGTTATGTAATCTCTGATGTGACCAGAATATAGTTTATAAACCAATAATTGTCACTGTTGCTGCAAAGTTATCTGACCAAAGGTGTTATTGATGATATTTGCATCTTGATCATTTGAATTTCTCTCATGGTCAAGCTGTTATTATTGACCCACATGTGTCAGGCCTCACAGGAAACAAATGAGCCCTGAACTTGTTCCTTAGTGATGACATTTTCTGCAAACTCACCGCCTCACTGGGACTTGACTGTAAGCAAATAAGCTGCAGTTAAAGCGGGGGTGGGGGCGTGGGGGTATGGCCAGCAGCAGAGAGCCAAGGCAGCTTGAAAAGGCATTAAGGAGCGAGACGGTCTTTTCCAGAACAGTTCGGGAATCGGCACAGACTACTTCCTGGACTTGCACGACATTGTGCCGCTGAAAGGGGAGCCCTGGCTGGATGCGATTGGCCATGTGTGTTTATACTGGACCGGCCTGTTGGGACAGTCGGCCTCGCTGCCTGTGTGTGCACTTGTGTAATGGTTGGACGGGGTGCAGGAATATTTGTCTAGCAGGGCGGACAAAGGGATGAATATTTCTGTTTGTTTAATGTCTTAGGTCACTTGTTTTTATCCACGCTAACTGTGTTAGTCACCCTGCCACTTTGGTCCAGACCATAGACTGTATCTCCAGACTTAGCTATTGGAAGAATTGCCATAAAACCTTTTCTTGGTCACCAGAAGATGAAATTCTCTAAATTTGTCGATCTTTTGCTCATATCTGGCTTTAATTAAAATACATCACTGACTATTGGACTATTTTTTTTTACATTCATGGTCCTCAGAAGATGAAGCATAATGACATTGTTGATCCCCTGACTTTTATCCTAGTTCTACAATAAGGTTTTAGTTATTTTCAGTATTGGTACAGAATCTTGTAGATATTCATTGTTCCCAGAGAAAATATCCCAATGATTGATTTGTTAACCTGTGACTTTTCATCAAGCACAACCATGAGCTTGAAATTTGTACTTGTACTTGAGTGAAACGTCTCTTGTGGATTGATTGTCATGAACCTTGGTACAGGAAAACACAATGTGTGCATCTATTTAAGATCTTATAGATATCTACTTCATGCCAGGAACGATAATGTGTTTGCCAACTTTGTGTTGACAGACTGCACCACACTACTCTCATCTTCTTCATCTAACAAATTCTGTTACTTTAAAATTGTAACTATATTTTTAACCTGGAAAAGTGAACTCAATCATAACAACAGATGTAAAGAGAAGAGCTATATATATGAATTTAAATTGTTGATTTTCTTGGGCACCAATTAATTGCAATTCTGCCTTTAACCCTAAGGTTTGGGTTCTATATGGGGTGGAGGCGGCTCATTAACACCTCTTTCATCTTTATATCCACTGAATTAAAATAGTGTATTTTGCTGCTTGTGTCTTTACATTTTGTTCCTCCGGCAGATAACGGAGGTCAGACTTTGTCCGGCGGCAGCAATTGGCCACTACGAGGCAGGAAGGGGTCACTGTGGGAAGGTGGGGTCCGAGGAGTTGGATTTGTCGCCAGTCCGCTACTGAAACAACCCGGAACCGTCAGCCTCGAATTGATCCACATCTCCGATTGGCTGCCTACCCTTGTGGGCCTGGCAGGAGCGACTCCCAACACCACAAAGCCTCTAGATGGATTCAACGTGTGGAAAACAATCAGGTGAGCAGGGAAGAAGGTTTTTTACAGATCTTAAATTCCCTGTTGAGAATTTGTCACGGTGGCAGGTCGGCCTGTGGCCTGCACTTACAGCGTGAGCGATAGCAGCTCTTTACTTCTGACAGCCCGCCCTCTCTTTGTGCCCCTTCCTGATCCTTCCCCCAGTGCACTCTCACTCCAGCTCTCTCTGTCTGTCTCCCTGACCCAGCGTCTTTTTCTTGTAGGAGCTCCTGCTCCTTCAATAAGCCCTTTGTTACTGTGGCAATGGGAGCTCAAAGAGAAGGAAATTCCATCAGCCATTCTAACACCAATGTGTAGTCCCCTCATCCCTCTGTTTTTTGCCATTACTTGCTCTCCATCCCCACCTCTGCCTCTCAGAACTATTAAAGCCTACTTTTATGTCAGCTAATTCGTTTTCTCCAAATCTTTTCATGTTGGAAGTTGAACAAACCTGAGATGTTGTAATTATTGTGTGCATGATATATTAAATCATGTGTTCTCGAAGTTTTCAAAGAAATTGGTGATTTGATGAATCAGATTAAGTCAATTTTCCATGTTGGTTTGTGCTCGGGTCATCACACAAGCTGTCGCCGAGTCCTGTTTGACTGACAAATTATATTTGTAAACTAAATGTGGACGCAGTGAAAGAGGTGAAATTGAGGGCTACTGCAGAGCCCCAGCAGAAAATCAAGGCTTAGCCAGGACCACAAACTACTACTCACAGCCTCCACTTGACTCGATTGGCCGGCGCACATCAGCTGACCGCTGGCTGCTGGCGTTGCCGTGTGAGCCGTGCAACAACACGAGGAACAAACTGCTGTTTGTTTGCACTGCTTTACAGTTGCATTTTGTCTTTTAATTGGCTCGCTGGTTACAGAAAACAGCAGCCTGACAGCTCGGGTCGTGAAATAAAAGCCGAATGAAACCAAAACAGTAGGCAGGCAGCAGAGAGTGAGAGTTATTTTAGTTGTGTTATCAGACACTGTGGTCAGTGAGAGCGGTGCGTTTTCTCTGCGGTGGAGTGCGGTCAGAGCATATGACTGCCTGGTGAACATCGGCCAGCTGGTTCAGATTTACACATCCCAGTAAACTTTGCAGTGCACGAGTTAGGCTGTGTGGTGTGTGTTGGTGTATTCATGTGTTTTTAGTAACATTGCTTTTATGTTACAGCTACGGGTTTGCCTCACCCAGACTGGAGCTGCTGCACAACATCGACCCTCTCTATGAAGATATCGCTCCATGTAAGTTCACATTTTCACTGTACATCAGAACACTAATGATTATATCATGTTAATGGATTAATCTATACAATGTCAGACAATTATGAAGAATGTCCATCATGACAAAGCTCCCAGGAGAAAAACTCTCCAACCAACAATTTCAGGTTTAAGTTAAACCATATTCACTCATTCACTCACACATTCATTCTGCAGCTCTATATGCATCGCTTTTCTATCACACATCCTTCACACTCATATGGCACAGGAAGTTTCCACATGCAGAGTTGAGGAGCCGGGGATCGAACCGCTGACCTTCTGGTTAGCGGTTATTGGACGTTCCCGCTCTTCCTCCCCTGTGCTTTGAGCCACAGCTTAATGTATGTACCATTCACCGAATATGCTCTTTTCCAGAGTTGGTAAAGGGAGAATTTTGACATGAATGTTGAAACACACAGTCGTGAAATAGAAACATTGACTGACACAAGGTAAACAGATCGCAGCAAATCCTGCCAATAGGCTGAGATCATTTCACTTCTATATGTAAATCATACGGGCTCATGCTCCTTCTTGACCGCCGTGTTCCTCCAAGGAGCGTCGTCTGGCGTCGCCATTACTGCACGTCCATACTGTTCTTGTCTGCAGTTCTCTCATCGGGGAACAAACTACCTAATCCGACCAGAGCGGGGTTGTCACATTATATAGATATATATAATCTAACACACCTAATTAACACCTACTTTTCTTTACCTGATCTCCTGCACCTTGTCCTGTTGAACAGATTTAACACTGTCCTGAAGCTCATTGGAAATGAGGTAATGAAGGATTTTTCAGTGTACATCCGATACTAAAGCAAAAAATTACATGTCACAATATAAAATTGTATTCTCAGCCCAGAAGAGAATCATATTGACAGAATTTTAACCCGTTGGTTTCCAACTTTCCAGACTTCTTAAAATACAACTATGTCTGCTTGTGGTCTTTCATTCCAGGTTGAAGCTTTATGTGGGTATGAATAATAAATGGTCTGTATAGAGCTCTTCTTTTTGCTGTTCACCCATTCAAACACATAATTCACACACTGCCATCACAGTGACATCACACTGTCTGTAAACTATATCCCTTTAATTATCTGCTGACCTCTCCAGGTTGGGAGCCACTAGTTTAAACCCCATCCATCCATCCATCCACCCATCATCTATGTATAGATGGGCGCCGGGGGCCGGAGTCTCCCTGCTCGCACAGGGTGAGAGAGGAGGGGTGCACGCTGGGCAGGTCACCAGTCTGTCACAGGGCTGACAAACACAGACACACAACCATTCACCCCTGCAGGCAATTAGAGTCACCAGTTAACCTAAGCTGCATGTCTCTGGACTGTGGGAGGAAACCCGTGCAGACACGTACACAGCCCTGGCTGCTTGAAACCCTCTGAGCCACTGAAGGCATCAATTTGACAAAGGATGTTGAGGTGATGGAAAACCTGTGTTCCTTCCTTCCTTCCCTTCATCCCTTTTTTATACTTTGTGGGAAGCGTGTTCTTTCTTTTCTAATGTTGTAATTCTCGCTCTTTTTCCCCAACATGGCCATAAGTATCAAGACCTCATTGTTTGGGCCAAAACTCCCAAACCATAGACATTGTAAAAAACAATTGACGCAAGTTAAAACAGACAGAGGAAGCATATTACATAACATTTGACTAAACTCAGCCTATTAGCCTATTATGCTCATTATGAAGTCTGTTTGTTTGGATTGCGAGTCTTCGGGCGGATGTTGTTTGTGGCTGATCTCACGTGGTGTCTGGATTATCATCAGTGGGTCTCCAATTTAGCCACGTTTAGAAAGTCTGCCTGATTAAAATGAAACCTCCTCCACTTGTGTGCAATGGTGATCTGAATTCTTAAAATGTAATCAGTCACTGTGGAAACTGTAATCAGTCATCGAAGAGGGTCGACATTTGAGGGCAGGGTGCGTACAGTTTAAGATTGTAGGGAGGTTTCCAGGAAATGGGTCTAGCGACTGCCCTTTATTATTGCTTTGTTACACAGTGGAGTGGTTTCATTACTGTCTGAACCACTTGCTATTAGGTGAACCAAACCACAGCCATTTCTGAGGAGGAAGCGTATTCCCGGTGTGAGGCCACTATTTCTGACTTTGTGGAGGACGCCGCACCTTTGTTGGACGTTCAAAAACAGAAGAGGTATAGGAGGAGTACATTTCTGTCCTGAAATGTTTCACAGATGGACCATAATAGGCACATAATGATTCTGCAAGAGAGCAGATGCGTAGCTTTTGATCCAGCGTGAAGGTATTGCAGAGTTTCTGGTTCTTTTTTTGAATCAACATGTGGCTCTTTCTGAGGTTTCTACTTTCTTTTTTTCTTCCCCTGTTAGATTTTTTGGTAGTTTTTCCGTACTCTTGTTGAAGGTTAAGGACAGAGGATGTCACACCTTGTTAAGCCTTATTAGACAACTTGTGAATATGGACTGTACAATTAAAATTTGATTGATCAATCTTGGAAATTAAAAGTATTTACACTTGCGCTGACCGACCACACTCAAACTTGTAGATGTTGGATCATCATCAGTGAAGTGGTGTCCACCAACTCCAGAGGCACAAATCTGACTTCTGTCTGTTGTTTAGCTCGTTGCTAACTTGGTCTGTGGGCTGTGTGCTGCTGGGCAGGCTGTGTACAATGACGTTATCTGAAAACGGCTTCCTGTCGCAACCGTTAACGAGGTTGATGGAGTGTGGAGACCAAATCATTAATGGTGCAGGCCGTAAAAAACCAAAAGCATTAGCTGAGTGACACTAAAGCATTCCACAGATCTAAGGGGGTCTGCAAAGTCACCTTTCACATTAAACTGCAATTTTGATTAATGACCATTATGAAAGTAGAAAAACTGCAGCTCTTTAAATTAAAAAGAAGAGTAAATTAATGCAAATGTTCTTTCTCTTTCCTCTAATGGCTGAGAAGTAGTCAAAACCTACTGGGAATAAATACGAGTGGCCTCTGTGTGATGAATAATGTCTGTGGAAAGTTCAGTCACCGCTTTATCACGTTTCCGAGAACTGCCTGTTTATAAAGCTTAAGCCAGGCGTCCTCGAATTATCCTCCAAGTTTACTATTGGTCATTACCATTTAAATCACCCGCATGATCAGAGAAAAACCCTGACGCTTTACAAGCTTTCGCCCCCGTGTTTTATGTTTGAATCTTTATTGTCAGCCTCCACAGTGACAACCAGCCTCCCTCGGTGCATTCCACCCTGAGATTCCTCTTTCTCTTTCACCCCCTCTCTTTCCTCATAACCCGGCCTCTGTTTGGAACCGCGCTCTCCACATTTCTTCTCAACTCCCTCTTCAAGCTTCTTTGGGTTTTGTCTATTTAGCTCATAAAAAGACTGTGGCCCTTTTTTTTTTTTYTTGCATACCTTTCTCCTTTCAAGTCGCTGTTGAAAACCCTTCTTCTTTGCTCTTGCACCGTGTGACAAGAGGGATCCTGATTGAAATGGGCCACAGAGGGGTCCCTGAAGTGCTCACGTCTCGAGGGAGAGAGGAAGTAAGAGAGAGAGAGAGTCCCTGGACTCTACCTAAGTCTTATATCACTCCCAAATTTACCCACCACACTCTTTGTTTGCTCTCTAAGGGTCTCTGCCCACCGTTTCTCCCCCTCTCCTCCCTGCTTGTTCTTGAGCCTCTTTGTGCATCCTCCTGCTGTGGATCCAGATGAGCAGGGCCTGCTATGACATTCTCTTCTCAGTCCTGTGAGAGGAATGAACATAATAAAAGGGGCAGAGTTACTGTTGGGGACTGAAGCCCCTTTCCTGCGACTCAGATGTTTGCTTAGCCCAAATCGTTTGTCTTACCACCTGCGTCAACACCAGAATAATACAAGATGTCACTACACTATTCTTATGCAAGTATTTGAGCTTCACAACCTTCATGTGTGTAAGTACGGTTCCATGTCTCATGTGAGAGCAATTAAGATACCCGCATGTCATTTGCCAGCAGAGAAGAATTCAATATCGCAGCTTTAACATGTGGTGGCAAAAAAACGCTGAGATCAGAAATGTTTTAATTCTCCCGTCACGTCGCTGTGGTCGCATCGGCTCTATAAAACGAGCTCTGTGTGGGTGGGGCTTTGTCCATCTGCGAAGAATGTGGGGGAAATAGTTGCTTTTGACAGCGTGAGGAGGCAAAAATTACTTGCAAATCTGTCTAATCAGGACCATATTGTCGGGGGTCGACCACAGCATGAACCTGAGAATACACCCAAGGCCAGATCTCTGTTCAAAAAAAAAAAAAAAAAACCTTGACATGTGTGCTCACTTCAGGGAGACATTTTCTGGAGGGACAGAAATAGCAGCATGCAGGAGACTACAGAAAATTCTGGACACGATCAAAACATCCATTAATTATGTACTTTTGCCTTGTGAAACTTTTAAAATGATGCCGGTTGGTATCTAAGACCCTTGTTCCTTCTTCCAATCTGCCCCAACTGCAGCAGAGTCAAATTATTCATTGTGCTTGGCAGAAGTGGCAGACTGGTGCTGAGTCGACCGCATTACCACCAAATTTGTCACATTCTTCCAACCCCAAAGTACCGTGTGTTTAAAGAAATTAATACGTCAAATCATTTCTGCTCTTAAAGAAGAAGATAGTCATGAATTTGTTTTGTTTTTAGCAGTTTTTGACCCACTCAGATTTCTGCCGTTTCACTGCAGATTTTTCTGCACAAAAGAAGTCTTTCTCACAGTATCACTATTTATTTTCACACCTTCAATACAGACTGATTTCCAGGTATGCAAGGTTCGGTGCCAGTCAACCAACACAGGGCGTTTTGTATGCAGTGGAAGTCTAATATCATCTTAATCAGCAGTTTCTATCTTTGTTTTAAAAAGATGGATGACCTCCGCGATCAGCTCTGTCCTCTGCTCTGTGCAGGTCCTGGCAGGGAGCGTCGGTTAACTTTGGCCAAAGTGGTCGGCGGAGACTCGTGGGCCAACTCCGGCTTCAATGTGTCCATTCACGCCGCCATTCGATCCTATAACTGGAAGCTGCTGACGAGCTACCCAGGTCAGTATCTCCTGTCACCCATAAAGACATGTTTAGTCTAAGTGGGAAGTTGAAAATGAAGAACATACGTAAATACGCACAGGCACACATTCACTTCTTATCTCTAAGCTAATCAGTGGAAGAGTCAAACCTTATTGTGAAATGTCCTGTTCCACTGAAAGTACTTAAAGTATTAAAAGAGCTCATCTCCTTCATTTATCATGACTCCTCAGGTCTAAGGGGTTGTCAGATAATTCATGGAAGAGGAAAGAGGCTATAGTAATATTAGAGTTTTACATCTTTGTGTAAATCTTGCATATATGTATTTGTTTTCAAATTGTTTCAATAAACACAAAGATTTTAATGTATTTTTTTAAGCGTAATGGACAAATATTTATAGGGTTTTTTTTATCTCAGATGTGAATATTTTCCACTTTTTGTTTGTATCATTACATTATATAAGAGTTTATAAAGTATCTTTAGTTTGTGGTAGTTGGTTGCTTTTCAGAGTTTGGACTCTTAGAAACTACAGGGAGTGAAATAAAAATACTTTTTAATGACATATACTAAGCAAATCCAACCACTCATGGACATCTGAGATGCAACAAGTGGATATTTTTATTTGTAAGAGGTCACAAGCTAAACATGTTGAGTCACTGATTTGATCTAATTTTGTATATACTATGGTCATTTTATTCTACAAGCTTATTATATGTTTTTTATATAGAATCTACATATAATTATTTTAGTTAAATTTAAATTGTATAAAGTAGCATAAAATGGAAAAACCTAAATAAAGTACAAGCTAAACTTCAAACTACTGTGTTGAGTAAATCATCTGTCTTCCTCCAGGTTGTGACGTGTGGTTCCCGCGGCCCGACCACAACAGCTCCGAGTCGAGCCCCTCCAGCCTGGGTCAACTGAAGCCCGTCATGCTGTTCGACATAGAGAAAGACCCAGAGGAGAGGGTGGAGGTATCTGATCAGTTCCCCTCAGTGGTGGATTATCTCCTCAGTAGGCTCCACCAACACCAGAAAAGCGCCTTGCCAATAAACTTCCCAGACGATGACCCCAAATGTGACCCAGGCCCCACCGGAGCCTGGGGACCCTGGGCTTAGTTGGAGATGATGAACTGATTGTAAAGGATGAACTTCTTTGTTTTCCTCTGTGGAGAAAATCCTATTTTTTAATGAATTATGATTAGATTTTATAATGGCTGTCTAAAAGACATTTTATTCAATCATATATATTTAATTTCTTTGCTTTGCAGAAACTCGATGTGACATGTCATCCATCCATTAGTTGACTAATGGATGCTGTCCTTGTTATCCATCTTTACGTCCCAGGTCAATAATGCTTTCAGAGGTAAATTAAAGCGATTGCGTAAAACGTCTTAGAGACACATGTTGCTGATTTGTAAAGACCCTCTCCCTGCTGTTTCAGGTATTTGCACTTCGTTTATCTACTGTTGAGAAGCTGCAGGCTCCTTGTATTTGTCAAACACAAAGCCCCACAGAAATAGCAGGCAGTATTTAACCTGAGAGAAATATGTCACCATCCAAACTGTGGGGCCTCGCCAGGGTATTTTTCAGCTCTTTTATGATAGTATGGAGAGAGTAACACACAGAATGTTGAGTTTGGTCATATTTTTGACATTTAAAGCTGCACTAAACCAGAAGTTTTGTCCCACAGAGAGGTTCCACTATCCTGCACTAATTGTATTTTTCAGCTCGTTGTTCTGGACATGTGACTTTAATATTGGCTCACTCATCAGCATACTTTCTGACTGCAGCAGTAGACTGACAGCAGAACAGCTCTGATGGGGCCACTGTACTCTCCTCAGGACCAACAAGCAAAAAGACAAAAGCTGCTTTCAGACCCTAACTGAACACTGCGGGTGGGGGGGGGTTGTGAGAACAGCAGGAAAACTTCCCCAGGATTCACAATGAGCGAGTGGGCGTGCTGATGACATTTCTAAAGCGAAAATGAAAAGCACAGTGTTCTGACTTCATTGTTGCAGAAGAAGCGATGCTCTGTTTATCTGAATTCAGACGGTTTTTATAAAGATCAGTTCACAACAAGTGTGTGTGGTTAGAAAAAGGCAGAGGAGCAGAATCACACTGAGTAATGCTCTGAGTGATAATAATAATAAACATCATATATAATATATAGCTCACAATCAAGGTACAAGATCTTGATATTGATTTGAAATCATATCGCCCAGCCCTGTTACGTCTCTGCCTGCTGCACCCCCCCTCACCTGAACGTTCTCCAGATTTCTGTGTTGTGAGCGGATCTTGCCAGAGAATCTCCTGCTGAATTATTCATGTGTGAAAGACAAACTCTGGATCCAATTGCAAAAACATCCTCTGGAGTTCATGTCTGGAATCGGCTAAAGTTAGAGACAAGTTGGTGAACACAGTGGAATATTTAGCTGCTTAGAAGTCAGACTTTTTCCTCAGGAGTTGATGGACGCTTGTAATTGCACTTGTGACCTTAGGGGGAAAATCTAAATTGTACACTTGTTTTCCAACAGTATCTTGTATGTTTAAAAGTGATTTTCTTATTTTCTTGCTCTCAGCCTAATATGCTAAAATGTTTGCCTGTTATTCAGCTCTGCACTTCTTTGCTGGAACAAATGCAACTTGATTCTGCTGTGCAACCATTAGTTTTAGGGATTCTAAAAGAGCCACAGATAATATATGATAACTCATAGTTGGAGCACTTCTTCAGCTTTCAGCGGATCCCATTCTCCTGATTCGCTCATCAGTCCAACCATTAAAAGCTGTGTTCGGAGAAATCAGGTTTTTTTATTTCAGAAAATGGTTTGTTGCATAAAAAAAATGGCTAAAATGTGAAACGTTTGAAATAAAATGTTTTTAAAATAAAGGATTTTATTTCATAATTAATTTGCTTTGTATTCAGTGAAGTACGAAATGTATTTCCTTCATTGTTGCCTTCAAGTTAATTGGGTTGGCTGTGTGTTTCTGTTGAGAGACCGAAAGGAATTCCAGGACGTCTTCAGGTGTCTCTGATATTATGGCTACAGAGATGATTCCCACATGTCAATCACTGGTGAATCTTCAGTTCTCATGGACGTGACATAGATTATTTGTGCTGCCGTGGAAACCGATTTTGTTTCATTTCATTTGAACAGCTGAAGTTAGAAGGTTACCGAGGACCAACATGCTAAACGCTAAAAAAAGTGCATCTTTCCAAAAGAGTCATTAGCATATTTGGAGTATGAGCGGGAGAAACAAACTTCCTTAATACATACTCGCAATTTGACCTTTGGCCCCTTGGTGTTTGACCTCCGACTGGCAGCAGCATGCAGACCACCACAGGAAATGCTCCCTGCAGAGACTGGGCGGCCCCGTCCTAATACGAGCTGTGACCCTTAACCCGCCCCTGGGAGTTGATTGGCAGCCGAGCGAGGCAGCAACAATAGTGGTTACTGGGGAAAACAGTGGAGCTTTAAAGCTATTCGACAAAAGCAGGTTCGTCGTGTCAGTGAAGCTTGTTTCTTTTACAGATGTCATCTTTGTTTTTTGTCAGACCTGTCACTGCTGCAGCCAGGGAGGTGGTGGCAGCGTTTTTCTGTGTCGTGGTTTAGACTGAGCTGGATTTAGCTTTTTGTACAGTAGGACATAAAATAACTGAGCTGGATGTTATGAGTCTCAGTGTGGCTCCTCCTTTTCACAACCAAACTTCAGACATGCAGAAAGAGAGGGATGCTTAAAGGAGTAGTTCATATTTGTTCATACATCAACACCATTCCCATCCCTGAAAAGAAAAGAGACTGAGCTTTCAAACTCTTTGATGCTTAATATCTGTATAACATTTTATACTTACACATTTTTTTTTAGTTTTTGAGTTTAATTGTAAATGCAATTAGTTTATTTGTTAATTTAAATTTACTGGGGGAAACAACTAGCCAGGCTCTGTGTGAAAATACAAAACAAATGCCTTTAAACACTCAGTAGTTGCTGTGTTATATGTTGTTTATATAATTATTGCAAAAGCTGAAGTGTAAATCAGCTATTATGGTTTTTAACAGGAGTTATGAAACTTTCAAATAAGTCGCAGCATGTGGCCAAGAAATAATTTGGCACCAAAACCACGATTTATCATTTAACATTTCATGTAACATGTAAATTGATGAGCTTTTTAGGTGCCAGGAGATTTTTTGGAAATGGACATTAAAGTGATATATGTCCTCCCATCCCAAGCTCATTATTTCCAAAATTGTTGAACTGTTACAGAACATTTATTCCTAAATATAGTTAGTAGTTTGACAGAGCAATATAATCATCACACAATTCATTTCTGAAACCTAGAATCAACTGTGACACTTAATTAATGAGTAAAGATTTTATGTCGTACATCACTGAATTATTTATGTAGGAACAGTCCTCCCATATGGTCGACCCAACACTACTGTGTGATGCCAGTTACTTAGTTAAATTTTAAAAACCAATCATCATTTCATGCCTCTGTTCTGGCGACAGCCATTAGCCACAGGCATTGTGTTTTCCAGTTGTCCTTCCGTGCGTCCATTGAGACGAAGCTAGTGATATAAAATAGTTGAAATTAGTTCCACCTTTACCAGCTGAAGTGAAGACATAAATATATCAACATTCCTTATTTTGAAATCAACCACGACCCATCATATGAAAATAAATGTTTGGTTCTTAAGGTATTTTATTAATTATTCCTGTACTTCTGTTCCAGTAAAGGTTTGACCTCATTAATTTTTTTTGCATTAGGGTCTTGGTCCTATGTTTAGACAGGACGCTTTCAGAAGGCTCAGGAAGAAGATGGTAATTGGACCTTGAGTCAGAAGCAGATGATAATATTAAATATATTAATAATAATAATAATAATAATAATTAATAATTCAATGAAATCAGTTGGACTCCTGTATTTAATGTTATTTCTGTGTGTAAATGTTCCTGTTGCAGCTCACAACAACTGAAAATGACTGAACACATTTAATTGGAGTGACTGCTGACTCTGGGTCAGCAGGGATGGAATGAGGAGATGGTGGAGGAGGAGTGACTGGTACTGCAGGGATGGATGGAGGAGCAGGTGAAGGAGTGTGTGTGGTTCTGCAGGGATGGATGGAGGAGCAGGTGAAGGAGTGACTGTGGTTCTGCAGGGATGGATGGAGGAGCAGGTTAAGGAGTGACTGGTTCTGCAGGGATGGATGGAGGAGCAGGTGAAGGAGTGACTGTGGTTCTGCAGGGATGGACGGAGGAGATGGTGGAGGAGGAGTGACTGCTCCTGATATGATTCCAGGGTCGTCAAATGCCTCCAGTTCAAAGTCCCAGAGCCTTCACAAACACAAGCTTCATCATCTTTACTGCTCCTCTTCCTCACACACACACAGGTGGGTGTGACACCAGCAGAGTTAAGTTATAATCAGAATATGCAGAGTCTGGAGGCGAGGGACAAAACATTGGACCGGACGTCTTCTGGTTTCCATTACTAGTTTTCACCAGCAGGCTCTAACAAATGAGGAGGAACACATTGAAATGCATTGGCTTTTGTCTCATGCATGTTATTGAGTGAGGAACTAAATTAGATCTGGATGAAGTGAATTTGAAGGTTTCGTATTGGGACTGGGCCTTGTTTGAAAACCAATCATATATTTTCTAGCACTTTAAGACAAGTCGGCCTCTGATTTAACATGAAATGACAGAACAACCATGTTCACAAGTGTATACGACCATCTTCTACTCCAGCTGCTGTGATATTGAATTTAAAGTGGGATTTTGGTAAATGGACGACTACCAGCAGACCGCACGATTATTCTCTGTTTCTGAGAAAGCACTTCTTACACTGCTGAGGCCATAAATTTGTCACTCGCTCATTCTGTTAGTTTACTCTGCAATCAAAACTCTGCATTTCAGGCTGATGGGATGGTTCGTATAATTAGACGTTGCCAGGACTCGCCGGTCACCTAAAACCGAGGCCTGCGAGTTTCTCAGCTCGGCTGCAGACCACTGCTGCATTTCACATACCCGGTCTGTGGTGAACTACTATTCCAGCCCCCACCCCCCCACCCTCCTTGTCATTATGAGTGGCCAACCTTGGCTGTGCCACTACTTGTCTCCTCCTCATACTTTTCAAAGTGGTTTTGGTGTGTTTTTCACACTTAATCCTGCGCTTAGACTGGCCTGTGAAGTCAGCCTCACAGAGAGTGACAAACACACTCCTCTGCTGAATCAACAGCGGCTCTGACGTCGCTCTGACCCTCACGTTTTGTTTTTACAGCTGTGACAGGGAAGTGTGGGCCTCCTGGAAAGATATGACAGTGCAAAGATATGACTAACTGGCATGATGCTCAGAGCTCGTATCTAAAAAATAGCTGAAAGTCAAATGTTGTGCTTAAATTAAAGATCCATTCACTTTTACTGACAAATGTAATCATTACAAACTAATTTGTCAAAGTTATTTTGATATAAAAAATCTGCAGAGGTCTGTTCAGTGGATCCATGATGGCTGCAGTAAAGACAAGTTTGTTTGCCATCTGTTGATGATAATACAATAACTAAAGTACTGTAGTTAAGATAGTTTCAGAGACCTTACACCAATGTATCTTGTTTCTTTTGGATTCATATTGTGTAAACACACAAGAATAAATCTGACGGTTAGACACTTTCATACAAAGAGAAGCATTTCCTTATATTTAATCTACATTAATAACAGTTTTCCCCTTTTTCATAATTCCTGTAGATTTCACCCAAATGAAAGTTTGGCAAATAGAGGCCCAGATGTTTTGATGGTGAACACGTGGGACACAAAAAATGGATGCCACCTCCACTCGATTTCCCTCTGCGGCAGTTGAAGGTCTCTTGTGGTTAAGAGGGACTGGAATTCCAAACGAGATTGTGTCTTGTCTGTGTGTGCTGCCCTGCCTGTGAAAACAGATTAAAATCATACTGACCAGTGCAGCCAGGAATGTGTTGAACCTTGAGCCTGAAGGGGGGAAATCCGACAGCTCATCGCGCCTGACAAAAAGAGAACCCCCCCCAATATTCCCTCACAGAGCAAGGAGACCACCACGGAGCATGACGTGCTTCAGAAAAAAAAGTACTTGTGCAGATCACTTTCAATGAAGCTGATGAGTTACTGCACAGAGACAATTTACTGAAGTATAAGTACACAAGTATCAGAAAAATCGAACTGGAATAATATTAGTACAAATACTTATGATGCAGAATGAGCCTTTGTGTTATTTTCAATACAAAACATTATAGAATTTCTATCATGTGTGCATTAACATGTATAAGTAAGATTTTAATGTAAGCTGTTAGCAACGTGGAGGAGATTTGGACTCTTACACACTCAGTTGTCATTCCATTAGGCACAATAAGCTCAGGCCGATCTAACACAACAGTCCTGCTGTAGATCCCTCTGCCATGAAGCTGACAGTGTTATTTTAAAGTGTTGATTTCCCTGTATGACTGTTGGGAGGATGTAGTATTCACTAAAAGACAGAGGCGTTTCTGTCTTTGAGTGAATCATCCCGGATATAAATGGTCCAAAAGACAGAAACACCTCTGTGATGATATAACAGAACAGACAAGCTCTTGTAGGTTCTTCTTAAACCTCAGATTTGATCATTGGACTGTGGAAACCACCACTACTTTACTATTCCTCTGCATTTTACATCTTTTTTAAACCATAAATAATCACACTGTTACTTACAGCAGTGTCAAATCCTTCTCTTTGTTCTAGATCGGTTTTTAATGCAAAATCTGCAGAGAAGCAACCATTTCATACTGGATTTGTACTTCTAATTTTTCAATCAACAAAAGCTGCAATAAAATGTACAGCCATAAATAGTAGAAATATAGTGCA